CGGGGAGTCTGCTTCTCCCTCTGACCCTCCCCCCTCTCATGTGCTCTCTCTCAAATAAATAAATAAAATCTTTAAAAAAAAAAAGATCTAACTTTGTTTTCTTCCAAATATATTAAATCAATCATGAAGTTTCCATGTACTATAAAAACCATGCTTTCCCCCCCCGCCCCCGCTTCATTGAAAAGGCCCTTCCCTTTAAAAAACAAACAACAAAGAAATAAGTTCCCATACATAAAATGGATTTATGGACCTTCTAGTCTGTCTTACTAATCTATTTGTCTACCTATGGGCCAGTACCATTTGTTCATTCATTAACGGACCCACTAAATATTACCTGAGGGCCTAGTTTGTTCCAGGAACTCCTCTGGCATGGAAGAGTCAGTGGCAAATCAGACGGCAACACTGAGTTGTGCCCTCCCGGCACATACAGCCTTGATGGGGGGAGACAGACAATAAACAAGGCAATATATAGTATGTCGGATGGTAAGTGCTATGGAAAACAACCAAGCAAGATCAAGACATAGGGAATAAGGAGGTAACAGAGGTTGCTATTTAAACAGGATGGTGGTCAAGAAAGGCATGACTAAGGGGTGTCTGACTGGCTCAGTCGGTAGAACATCTAACTCTTGATCTCAGGGTCGTGAGTTCGAGCCCCATGTTGGGTGCAGAGATTACTTTAAAAATATATAGATAAACCTCTTTAAAAAAAGAGAGGCATGACTAAGAAGGCAGCATGTGAGCAGAAACCTGACTGAAATATATGAATAAACTAGAGAAATCTGGGAGGAAGAATATTGCCGGAGGAGTGAACATAAAATACAAAAACTCTGAGAAGAAAGCCAGCTTGTCATACTTGAGAAACTGCAAGGCCAAAGAAGCTGCAACAGCATGAGTAAGAGGGGACACAGCAGATGAGGTGGAGGAGAAGCAGGCTATGGTTGCCATTAGCAAAATATCACTGGCTGGGTGGCTTAACCAACAGGGATTTATTTTCTCACAGTTTTGAAGGCTAGAAGTCTAGATCAGGGTATAGTCACGTTTGGTTTCTCCTCAGGCTTCTCTCCTTGGCTTGTAGTTGGCCACCTTCTTTCTGTGTCCTCACGTGGGCTTTTCTCTATGCTCACACACCCCTATTGT